TTGAGGACCAAGCAGGTCAGTGTCACTGTCTAGGACTCTACAGCAGCACAGTACAGGGGAGCACAGAGAGAAAGACCTCAGCATAACTACAGAGGTAAGCCCACCGCAAGTCCACTGCAGGATGGCAAGACGTTCTTGGGTAGAGTGGGAACTGATAAGGACTCTGAAAGCCAGGAAATTTATATACAGAGTACACAAAAGCTAAAGCTGAAGAATGGATCAAAAATGTCAAGCAGGAAATCTTCCATACTCCCACCATCTCAGCATGTTGTCAGTCATAAGAAAACACTCTCTATTCAGGCCACTATGCCAGTGATGGTTTCAACATCAGGAAGCAGGCCTGGTTCATTTATACTGACTAGAATAATAAAATCAAAGAAGTGAGTGACTAAGATAGGCGTTATTATATTATCTTTTGTATGAACAAGATCTTTAATGCATTATTGTAAACAGCAGAAAACTCTAAACCACTTAGTATGAAAGTCGGGAGGACCATTTAGCAATGATAGTGAGATACATACTGCTTGGCTGGCATGCATACATAATTCACTTCTACCATAAAGCCCCTTCTTCCACCTGAGAATCATTCACCTTCCACTCTTCTAGAGAGACAGCTATCTCTAGGACAATCAAAGAACAGGAAACCATGTGCCAATTCTGCAGGAATCCTCTGCGCCATAGCTTTAACTGATCTCCTTTCTGTATTCTGTGTTCTTAACCATGTTCTTGGATATATGTATTGGGTGAATAGCAACCAATGAGGGTGTGTTTTATGCACATTTATTTTCTGCGTATTTAAAATGTTTTATAAAGAAAATTAGTTCACACACATGAGAAATTGCACATGTTACATAAGCTTGTAACAAACCAATAGCTTGTGATAAAGCCACTGAAAACCAAAGTCACTCTGTAATAGTAATGATAGTTTGTCCTGTTTGCAAGAAAAATATTTCTCCAATTTTTTAAGTTCAAAACAATGAGTATGTTACCATTTTGTTATTTACACAGCAACCCCAAGAAATAAATTATTGGTGCTTTGTATATTATAATTCATTGTAAACTCTCAGATCACTTTTTAGCAAAGTAAAAAGCAAATAGTTTATATGATCAAAACCTTTTGAAATAAAAATGGTAAAATTGTTCCAAAAATAGAGGAGGGAATTCTCCCTAACACATTCTATGAAGCCAGTATCATCCTGATACCAAAATCAGACAAGAACACGACAAAAAAAGAAAACTACAGACCAACATCCCTGATAAATATAGACTCAAAAGTCCCCAACAAAATACTGGCAAACTTAATTCAATGGCACATCAAAAAGGTAATACAATATAAAGATAATATCAAAAAGATAATATCAAGTGGGCTTTATCCAGGGATGCAAAGATGGTTTAACATATGTAAATCAATAAATGTGATACATCACATAAACAGATTTAAGGACAAAAATCATATGATCATCTCAATAGACTCAGAAAAACATTTGGAAAAATTCAGCACTCCTTCACGATAAAAACCTTCAAAAAACTAGGCATAGAAGGACCATACCTCAAAATAACAAAACCCATATAAGATAACCTCACAGCCAACATTATACTGAATGAGGAAAAGTTGAAAACATTTCCTCAAAAACCCTGGAACAAGAAAAGGGTGCCCACTTTTACTACTTCTCTTCAACGTAGTACTGGAGTCCTAGCCAGAGCAATCAGGCAAGAGAAAGAAGTAAAAGGCATACAGTTTGGAAAAGATGAAGTCAAATTATTCCTGTTTATTGATGATATGGTATGGTATATCTAAAAATTTTTTTAAAATATCTAAAAAAATTAAAAACTCCACCAAAAAACTCTTAAATTTGATAAATGAATTTAGGGTTGCAGAATACAAAATCAACATACAAAAATCAGTAGCATTTCTACATACTGATAATGATCTAGCTGAGAATGGAACTAAGAAGGCAAACCAATTTATAATAGCTACAAAGAAAAAAAAAAATACAGTACCTGGAAGAGTGCAGTGGCTCACACCTATAATCCTAGCACTTTGGGAGAACAAGACAGGTGGATTGCCTGAGCTCAGGAATTTGAGACAAGCTTGGGCAACATGGTGAAACCCCATCTGTACTAAAAATACAAGAAATCAGCTGGACATGGTGGTTGATGCCTGTAATCCCAGCTACTCAGGAGGCTGAAGCTGGAGAACTGCTTGAACCCAAGAGGGGGAGGTTGCAGTGACCCAAGATCATCCCACTGCACTCCAGCCTGGATAACAGAGCAAGACTCTGTCTCAAAAGAAAAAAAAATACAGTCCCTAGGAATATATTTAATCAAGGAATTGAAAGATCTCTACAAGAAAACTACGAAACACTGAAGAAAGAAATTGTGGATGACACAAATAAATGGAAAAACATCCCATGCCCATGGATAAGAAGAATTAATATCAATAAAATGGCCATACTGTCCAAAGCAATCTACAGATTCCATGCAAACCCTATAGAATATCAACTTCATTTTTCACAGAATTAGAAAAAGCAATCCTAAAATTATATAGAACAAAAAAAGAACTCAAGTAGCCAATGCAATAACTAAGCAAAAAGAACAAAGCTGGAAGCATCTTAAATTATATTATAAGGCTATAGTAACCAAAATAGCATGGCACTGTTACAAAATTAGGCACATAGGTCAATGAAACAGAATAGAAAACCCAGAAATAAAGCCACATATTTGCAGCCACCTGATCTTTGGCAAAGTCAACAAGAACATACAATGGGGAAAATATACTTCTTTCAGTAAACGGTGGTGGGAAAATTGGATTGCCACATGCAGAAGAATGAAACTGGACCCCTACCTCTCACCATATACAAAAACCAACTAAGAAAGATTTAAAGACTTAAAAATAAGACCTGAGGCCAGGCATGGTGGCTCATACCTATAATCCCAAAACTTTGAGAGGCCGAGGTGGGTGGATCACAAAGTCAAGAGTTCAAGACCAGCCTGACCAACATGGAGAAACTCTGTCTCTACTAAAAATACAAAATTAGCTAGGCGTGGTGGCACATGCCTGTAATCCCAGCTACTCGGGAGGCTGAGGCAGGAGAATTGCTTGAACCTGGGAGGCAGAGGTTATGGTGAGCCAAGATCATGCCATTGCATTCCAACCTGGGCAACAAGAGCAAAACTCCATCTCAAAAATAAAAAGTAAAAAGAACTGTCATTTCATCCAGCAACCTCACTTCTAGCTATCTACCCAAAGGAAAGGAATCACTATATAAAAAAGATAATTGCACTCGTATGTTTATCACAACACTGTTCACAGCAGCAAAGATATGGAATTGACCTACGTGTCTATCAATGGATGACTGGATTAAAAAAATGTGGTATATATACACAATAGAATACTATATTCAACCATAAAAAAAGATAAAGTCATGTCTTTTGCAGCAACATAGATGGAACTGGAGGCCATTATCTTAATTGAAACAAGACACAGAAAGGCAAATACCACATGTTCTCATAAGAGAGAGCTAAATATTATGTACACACGAATGTAGAGAAAGGAATGATAGACAATGGAGACTCAGGGGTGAGGAGGTAGGAAGGGGATGGATGATGAAAAATGTGTTACCTAATGGGCACAGTGTCCATTATTCAGGTGACAGAAACCCTAACAGCCCTGACTCAACCACGAATGCAGTCTATGCATGTTACAAAATTACACTTTTACCCCATAAATTTATACAAAAAAAGAGTGTCTATCTGAAACAAAATATAAAGAAATTGATGTTGGAAAGGCTAAGTGAATTATACTTAGCCACACAGTGACACAACTAGAATTAGAACTAAGCCCCAAACGTGATGACCCTCTTGCATGGCTGTTCCTTCTAGCCTCTGACACCTTTACAGTTAGTACCATAATACATCCCTACTTAAAGGAACAGGCATGTGAACACTGTCTTTTCCCAAGTTGGCCACAGAAGGGTGTGATCCAAGGCCATGGCCCTAGACCAGGTTGGGACACCTCCCTGCCCAACAGTATTACACACACACACACACACACACACACACACACACACAGAGTAAGGCTTGTTTGAACAGAACAGTGTTGATAGCTAGTGGAGGGCTAAGGACAGGGCTGCTGTTTACAGTTGTGCAGGATGTCCACTGAGCAACCCATGGGGGAGTCATTCACATTGCGGGTGTTATAGGCTGTGTATTTTCATGACAGCTTTCTGGCACATTAAAAGTCCCTTGAAGAGGAGACACCTTTTTCCATCTCACATGAAGGCTTCATATGGGCTGGGGAGGGATGAGACCTGCAAGAACAGGAATGAGATAGATATGGCAGGGTAGGATCAGTGAAAGAATCAAATTGATGTAGGAAATGGCCAGACCCGGGCATAACCATCAAGGCCGAGGTTAGTTCCAGAGAGGAGTCAGAAGTGTCTGGTGAGTGAATGAGATGAAGAAAGGGAGACAACAAATGAAGCCAATTTTCTGAAAAGTTAGCTTGTGAATGGTTGCAAAGAAATGAAATAGTGGCTGGAAAAGTAGCTGCCACCAAGGGAAGATCTTTGTTTTTGTTTTAAGGATGGAATGTAGTAATGCTTAATTGTATGATGATAGGAATCTCAAGGAAACAGAAATCAATAATGCAGAAAGAGATGGAGAGGCTGAAACTAAAGTCCACAAGAATGTGAAAAAGACAAAACAGAAGAGGCAAGGAAGGGGGGACAAGAGCTTCATAGATAGAGTGAATGTTGAGGGACTTCCCTCTTACCTAATATTTCATCTTGCTTGTGAGTCATGAGAACAATATCTGTCCACAGATATTTGGTGAACAAATCCACTAAATAAAAATGTCTATAGAAAGATGTATATCCAATCAAGGCAGAATAAGTACAAAAACACAGGACATCATCCTCTGAGGAGTTGGAGGAGAAAATTAGGGTAAAATTATGAAGGATCCTCATTCAACATACTTTTTTTTTCTTTTAAACTTTCAGGTGGTTTTTGCTCTTACAGACTTTGTGATAGAAAATCTTGGGAAACAGTTTGTAGAGACACCACCTGTGGACCTGGCTACCCTGTATCAAGACATGTCATGCAACACTCCCCTGGTATTCATCTTAAGCACAGGCTCAGATCCCATGGGTGCATTTCAGAGGTTTGCCCGGGAAAGTGGATATTCAGAACGGTAAGGTCATGTTGGGCAGTTTTAATAATGCATATGCATATGAACATCTCTTTGTTAAAATTTGCCTTTGTTCTTCCCCTTACAGAGCACAAATTCTTATATTCAGGTATCTCTTACTAAATAAATTAAGATATGTTAATAGTTAGCTATTGTTAAAATAGGGTCAAAAATCATAAAAGTAGCTGTAAATTTTATTTAAGCAAAGGAGAAATTGCTTAAAATGTTGAAGTATAATAATTTAGTGGAATAATGATTGAAATTTGGTATTTAACACAGGATTTTAACACAACAAAAAAGGTACTGAAGCTTACTCTCTATAATCAAATGTACAATAAATGAGCTCTTTATGTTCTATTATTAATCTCATCTTTCTCATGAGTCTTCACTCTGCTGGGCAATAGGGACAAGGGGGATATTTAAACTTGCCCATTTACATTATATTCTTCTGATTTAAATGTCTCCTTTACAGTAAGCTGATTTGTTTTTTTTAAAATGAAAGTTCAGTCTTCCTAACTCCCCTTTCTATCCCTAATCCTCTCCAACATGGTATCCAATTTGCAGAAAAGTACACAAGACCACACAATGGCAGAGGATAATAGGGGTCTTAGATCCACAAGGTAGCCTCCACCTCTGATAGGTACCTGCATGGAATGGCTGGTCTGGCCTTGTCTTTGGACTGGGAATTAATGATGGGTTCCATTTCTTCATCTGGAGTTCATGTTCTGTATTAGTTAGAAGTCTCCAGAGATATAGAAATAATAAGGTAGGGATGTGTGTGTGTGTGTGTGTGTGTGTGTGTGTGTGTGTGTGTGTGTGAAGTTGCAAGATTTGCAGTCAACAACTGGAAACAGGACCACTTACGTGTAGTTCCAGTCTGAATCCAAAAGCCTGAGAGCCAAGAGAGCTGAGAGTATAAGTACCAGTCCAAAATTCAGCAGGCTTGAGACACAAGAGCCAGTGTTTCGGTCTGAGTCTAAAGGTCAGAAAAACTCGATGTCCCTGCTTAATAGTCAGGCAGGAGAAGTTCTTTCTTATTCAGCCCTTTTGTTCTATTCAGGTCTTCAATTGATTAGCTAAGTTCCGCTCACTTAGGAAAGGCAATTTGCTTTACTCCATCTATTAATTTAAATGCTACTCTCACCCAGAAACACCCTTACAGACACACCCTGAATAATGTTTGACCAAATATGTAAATATCTCATGCCTTAGACAAGTTGACACATAAAATAAATCATCAAATGATCCTAAACATTTGCCTTCGGTTCTGAAATCTCAACAAAGTATTACTGTAGACTTATTAAGAGTTTCTGTGAATCAGTAAGAAAAAGAAAACAACCCAATAGAAATAAAGACAAAAAATACAGAGAATTCTCAGAAAAGGAAAACTAAATGCCCAATAAGCATATGAAAATCTATCCAGCCATACTAGTAATTTGGAAACAACAAATTAAAACCATGAAAAGATGCCATTTCACACCTATCCAATTGGCAAAATTGTGGCAAAGATATGGAGCTATGGAAACAATTCATATTGCAAGAGGAGTCAAACATAGGCAAAAATTATTTGACAGTATATATCAAAGTCAAAGAGGGCATCTTCAGTATCTCAACAATGCACTACTGAATTTCCATCCTAGAGAAAAAAGTCCGTCATATACAAGAAACCACGTTCAATCACATTTTTTTTATAATTTCAACTCTTAGGCCCATGTGGTATTTGGTTTTCTGTTCCTACATTAATTCATTTAAGATAATGGCCTCCACTGCATCCATGTTGCTGCAGAAAACATATCATTTTTTTTTTATGACTGCATGGCATTCCATGGTGTATATATACATTTTCTTTATCCACTCTACTGTTGATGAGTACGTACCTATGTTGATTTCATATTGTTGCTATTGTGAATAGTATCAAGAACATTTACAGAAACACTGTTTGTAATAACAAAAGTTGGAAATAACCTAAATTTCCATCTAGAAAATGAGTATATAAATTGATATATTCATAAAATGTTATGTAATACACCATAGCCATGAAAATGAATAAACTAGAATAATGTCTATCAATATGACTACATCCCACAAACTAATATTGAGCAAAAAATATATATATTTCAGGAGAACTAAATATTTAAGAAGTAGGATAAAATGTGCAAAATTATTAAACATACAAATAATTGCATGTATTATTTAGGACTTCATATTTTTAAAATAAAAGTGTTAAGAAAGGTAGAGAAATTATATGAAATCCAGAATAGAAGTGACCTTGTGAGTAGAGGTTAGGTCATGAAAGAGAAGTAAACAGGGAGAGGTAGACCACAAGCTGAAATCATGTAGATAATGTTTTATTTCTTAAGCTGGGTTGTGGATACATGGATACCCAGTGTATTAACTTTATCACTTTTGTGACTCTTAAGTATTTCATAATTTTTAAAGTAAAGGTATAATTGAAGATGACAATTAGAAAATTAGGAAGGTTATTAATCACTAGCTAATGTGTGCTAATTTCTTGATACATTCAGGAGGAAAGAAGAAGTATAGAATCACTATATTCCCTTAGGAAAATTAGTGGTTTAATGTATGTGTTAAAATTTTAGGGAAAAACACTAAAGTGATAAATGATCTGTAGCTTCCAAGCAAGCAGTGGAGAAGAAGAATATATAGTCCAGTATTTCAATTCAAAAGTAGATAGGAATAAAGAAAATCAAAGATGAGGTATAGTAAATCAAAAAATCAAACTAGAGAGTAGAAATTAATGCAAATACCTAAATAGCTATAAATATCTCGCCTAAGAACAAATAAAAGTGATCAAGTGAGATTTCAAAAACAATTTTTAGTTATATCCTATTTAGAAACCACATATACAATACAAAAACAATACAGGAAGGTAGAAAATAAAAAAATTCAAAAGATGCCATGCAAATACTAAAAGAAAGCTAGTAATAGTTCCAATGTATATCACAGAGTTTGAAGCAAAAAAATTATTAAGGATGAAAAGAAAATCTGCATGATATACAAGACAATCTATGAAGAAGAGATACCAATCGTGAAATTGTACACAACTAACAACAAATCTTGAACTATATAAAGCAAAAACTGGAGAAATTTATGCAAGAAGAAATTGATAAATCAACATTAATATGGAAAATTTTAACACATCTGAAACTCTCATAAAGCACACAAAAGTTGCAAAATTGGTAAAAATATTCAGACAGTGAAATTAAGAACTTTGATTTCTATATGTAACAAATATAACAAATGCAAGATTTTCAAGTATACATGGAACATTTACAAAAATTAGCCATGTGTTTAGAGAGACACGTATTTCTAAAAGAAGACAGATGTTTTCCCTGACCACAATAAAAATCTTCAGAAATCCATCTTAAAACATTATTTTTAAACATTTTGGGAAACAAAAACATGAACTTATGTACATCCATATGTTAAAGAGAAAACATAATGGGAATTTTCCATAAGTGGAAGTAGATGATAAAAACAATATTACATATAAAAACCTGTAGGGTATAGTAACGTGGCACTTAGAGGTAAATTTATGCATATTTGTGGACTTCTCCTTCCAGTATAACAAACTAAGGACTCAGATCAATATTTTCACTAAGAACACTTAGAAACCATGGATAAAATATTTAAGGAAATGTATGTTTGAAGGTCTGGAAAATTAATAAAATAATGAAGAATATTTAGGAGGAATGGAAAACGTAGAGCAATGAGCCCAGTGCTCATGGCCATTTTTCCCTAGAGGTACCAGAGGAGGAGGCTAAGGGGCTGCAAAGCTGAGCCGACTTTTTGACTGCTTCAAAGGGCAAAGGGGACAAAATAAGAACCCAGAGCCCACTAAGTAGGAGGGGAGGCCAGTAAACCCCCCTTACATTGTTTGCACTCAGAGGAGATTTATCAAAACAAATAATGCCAGGTAAGAAATAAATGGTTTGTTGCAGAGGTTAAGATGATCCCTGATTACTAGTATCTCTGAATACCTGCCAGAAAACATAAATCTTATCTGGGGGAACAGAAAAGTTTGGCTGCACAAGAAAATATAATCATATATATAAGAAGGCCAGACTACATGCTTAAAAAACAAGAAAAACAATATATATTAGAGACAGAGCACAGATTATCCTGATAATGGGTGCATGACATTAATTTTAAGATAACGTTTAAAATGTTCAAGGAAATAAAAAATTGAGAAAATTGACAGAATTTAAATTACTTAAAATAAAATTCTAGAATTTAAAAATATAACTGAACTACATTGAGATACCATCTCACACCAGTTAGAATGGTAATCATTAAAAAATCTAGAGACAACAAGTGCTGGAGAGGATGTGGAGAAATAGGAACACTTTTACACTGTTGGTGAGAGTATAAATTAGTTCAACCATTGTGGAAGACAGTGTGGCGATTCCTCAAGGACCTAGAAATAGAAATTCCATATGACCCAGCAATCTCATTACTGGGTATATATCCAAAGGATTATAAATCGTACTACTATAAGGACACATGCACACAAATGTTCATTGCAGCACTGTTTACAATAGCAAAGACCTGGAACCAACCCAAATGCCCATCGATGATAGACTGAACAGGGAAAATGTGGCACATATACACCATGGAATATTATGCAGCCATCAAAAACGATGCGTTTGTGTCCTTTGTAGGGACATGGATAAACCTGGAAACCATCATTCTCAGAAAACTGACACAAGAGCAGATCAAACACCGCATGTTCTCACTCATAGGCGGGTGTTGAACAATGAAAATATGTGGACACAGGGAGGGGAGCACTGCACACTGGGGTCTGTTGGGGGGAAATGGGGGAGGGACGGTGGGGGGTGGGGAGTTGGGGAGAGATAGCAAGGGGAGAGATGCCAGATGTAGGTGATGGGGAGGAAGGCAGCAAATCACACTGCCATGTGTGTACTTATGCAACAATTTTGCATGTTCTCCACATGTACCCCAAAACCTAAAATGCAATAAAA